CAGCCCCCCGCGACAGCAGCTGCTGGGAGAGCAGGAATCTGCGCTGCGTTACGGCCGTCCCCCGGTACAGGGAACTGCAGCGTGTTCAGATCTAAAGCTGCTTTTTTTGACCGACTTAAGGCTTCCTTATGTACGTAGCTCTTGATTTAGGATACCTTTCAAACCTTCACAAAGAAACAATTCAATACATTTTTTTTTTTGAAATGCACAACTGAGAAGTTTTATTTTGGTAGTGAGAAAACTCCTCCCCCTTCTCTTTCCAGCAGTAAAGCTTTTAAGCTACACAAGTACATAGGATCTGATGAAAACACTTTGGAGAAGGATGATGTAAGTCATAAAGATACTGTGGTATCAAATTTTCAAATTCACTACACGTCAAAGGAGAGTAACAAAGGGAGGAAAAGTTTCTCTGGGGTGTGTCCATCGGAGAGCATCAGCCTCTTCGCTGTCAGCTGCAGTTCTGCCAGCTGTGACCCAGCTGTAGCTCCTGACTCCCCTGGCGGAAGGCTCACAGGACACACCACACTGTATTTTCTTCTAGCTCTCAAGTAACTCTCTCTGTGACCTATGTGTAGACACAGCATAGCGTGTGTTGACTCCAACCAGTTAACCACCCATGTGTTTGTGCCTTTGTACCCCACCCTGGCCTGCCCCAAGACCTCTCCCTCTGCTCGCAATCAATGCCTGACTCACACAAGGTCTCACTGGTTTTCCTGTTGCAACACAGCTCATGGACATTACAGTAATAGCTATACGCAACAGTGTAACCCCCTGATGTACTTCAGTAGCAAAACTCACTATGGTCTGCAGCTGCTCACTTTTTAGGAAGTGTGATTAGCTAGTTAAAATGCAGTTACTCAGCTTCCCTGTGTTTAACAGATTAGCTGAAGATCAAATTGTAAAAAGAACTTCATTTTTTCCCTTTTGAGGCCTGCTTATTCTGTACTCTTAAACTGAATTCTTTGGATTCCAGACAGCATTACAAATAGGTAAAACCAAATGGTTCCTTGTGCACCAAGGAGGCTAATCTGATACAGCTCTTGGATACAATTCCAATTATTCTGATTCAGTACAAATGTACCATTTTTAAAAATCAAAATGGGAGACCGAATTCACTGCTGCCTGCCCACTGCAGGGATTCTGAGCATTACAATACTTTTTTTTTTTATTTTTAATATATGCAAAAGTAATGTTGGAAAATCTAGCGGACAGGCAGCCTGAAAATCACATTCCTCACAGACAGGACTCACACACCAATGCTTCTGACTGTCATATCTGCTTGCCTGGGCCTGGCTACCTAAGTGCAGAGGTTACTGCCAGAAGAAGTTAGTGTGCACAAGTGGAGAGACAGTGCCCTGGTAACACTGCTGTTAACAGCTGTCCTGCCGGAAGAACGGTTCCCTTCCACTTGACTCCCTGCAGCTCTTTGTTTAGGATTTTAAAGGGTCCAGGCAGAGAAGGCAGAAGAGTGAGGAGCCCCAGTTACCAGAAAAAGGAGCAGCAGCCTACTAACAGAGGCCTATAATATAAAAAGCTGTTCTCTGTGCTCCTTCACCCACCAGGCGTAGTTGGAAGGCAGGTAAAATAAAAGTGGGACCGTCACTGGATTTTGGCACCTCAGACAGCATTCCTCGAGAAGTCAGAGTTCTTCTAGTCTTCCAGAAGCACTCCACACGATGCAGGT